GGTAGCTGGGGGTGATATGACCACATTGGGAGATGGTGAGTGAAAGGGATGGGGAAAAAGAGAGTACCAAAGGAGCATTATTTCTTTGATGATTCTACCTGAGTCCAGTCCTGTTTGGAACTAGCTCTTGCAACAGCTCTTGTGTGATCTCTAAAAATGCCCTCCCACTGTGGTTTCATGAATCCTTCTTATGCTAATTTACCCTGAAGCGCTGTTCTTTTCCAGGGCATAAATTATTGAAGCGGTTGCGGTCAGTGAAGGGAAGGATAGTGAAACCCACCTGAGTCTTCCAAAGCGAATGGCCAGACGCCTTGTCTGGATTCCAGAAGTTTAAAGCAAGCCTGACCAAGCCGTCCCAGGCAGGAAGTCATTTAACAGCTAAAACGGCTGCCCACTTCCTAAGTGAGGCAGGGGAATGAGGGATCCGGTGAGAGATACCTCACATCTTTACACCACTGCAAGTTTCCCGGGCTTTTTCCCTGACCAAGACTGTAGGGAAGCCACTAGAATAGAAAGTGATTCACAAAGACCGGCTGAAGCCATTTTTAGATGTTCACTCTCAGGGAGGAGAGCCTATTAGTATCTGTGTAAAGAGGGCCCAAGCTGACATTGCACGTTGTGCTCAGCATTCGGTTTGGCAGGGGCCTATTTGAGCAAGGGATGGACCCCCTTTGTGTTGGGGAGTGTCCGTATATGAGACAGCGATGTCTGAAAAAGGCAGGCTGAGCTCAAGAAGCTTGACTCACATTTCCTCAGAGGATGCTTGAAAAACAGGCTGAAAACAAAAAATGTATCAGTCATTTCATTTATCAAAGTTCTTGCAGTTCCCAGTTTGAAGTAAGGGAAAGCAAAGCAAATATCTACCTAGAAAAGTGAACTTGAAAAGCTAGAGGGCTGGGGTAAATAAAAAAAAAAGTCAGAAAACACTGCTTTGAAAATTTCAAAGACAAACGCAAAGGAATACACAAATGCTTTCTGCTTTCTGCTCGCCCGCCCCATCATAAGCCTCGAAGTTAAAGAGACTGGCTCAAGGCCTCAGTCTGCCACCGAATAGTGGTTTCAACTGTGGGCATATTACTTAATCTTTTTTTGAGCCCCAGCTTTCCCATCTGCGAAATGGGTGTTATATATAAGAGAAGTTATGTCCTAGGGTTGTGAGGATAGTAATCCATGTGAAACAGTTAGCATAGTGAGCCACACACCATCTCCCGATTAATGGTAATTAGTATTCTTATGAGTCTCCTAAGTAAAAATCACTTTTAAAGTTCATGAGCTTTGCAAAATTTTCAAACGGAAGATTCATTTGACAATAAGAGGATTTTATGAATGGAGCCCCGCGGAGTTGGAATGTTCCTTCTCAGGCACGGTTAGTTATCAGCAGATTCATTAATCACCAGGACGGTCCGACATGTGCTACAAATAGGGAAAATAGAAACAATGTCTAAGTCACGTGGTGTCACCGTCTACAAATACAGAGGTTTGTCAAAGAGGGCTTTGTGAGTGTGTGTGTGCCTGCAAAGCCCTGGTGGTGCAACCTTCCCAGGTTCTCACATAAGAAGATAAAATAATTGGACCCCATTTTTAGGAAGCAGATATTTTATTGATTTTGCACTACCTCAAAGGATGCACAATGGATGATAGAGAAAGGAAGGGTGTTATTGAATGAATGGCAGGGATTTTTTTTTTCTTTTTAACCACACGGATTGTTATCTTTGCCTAGAACAGTTTTTAAAATTTTTTTTTATTTTTAAAGATTTTGTTTATTTATTGGACAGCCAGATCACAGGGAGGGAGGCAGGCAGAGAGAAAGGGTGAAGCAGGTTCTCCTCCGAGCAGAGAGCCTGATGCGGGGCTCGATTCCAGGACCCTGGGATCATGACCTGAGCCGAAGGCAGAGGCTTAACCCACTGAGCCACCCAGGCACCCCGCCTAGAACAGTTTTTACCAGCTCTTTGCTTGGACAGCTTTCTGTCACTGAGCTCTCAGCTCCTCTGTCACTACCTCATGGGGACCTTCCCTGATCAGCCAATCTAAATTAAACCCATCCCCCATTCTCTTAATCCTCTAGCCTTCTTTTCTTTCTTTTAAGCCCTTACTCTGTTCTGAAATTGCTTTGGTCATTTGTTTGCTGATTTGCTCACTGTGCAACTCTTCTGTAACAAGACACACAGGTCATGTGAAAGCAGAGACCACATCTGCCTTGTTTGTCGTGGTATCCCAGAGCCTGGTGTGTAGCAGACATTCAATAAATATGTGATGAAGAAATAATTGAATAATTGGGGCTTATTTGGCTTTATTTTAATTTATTTAGAGAGAGTGATTGAGTGAGTTGGGGGAGGGGCAGAGGGAGAGGGAGATGGAGAATCCGGAATCAACTCTGCACTGAGCGCAGAGATCCAGAGATTGTGACCTTGAGATCATGATCTGAGCCAAAAGCGAGAGTTGCTCAACAGACTGAGCTACCCAGTGCCCTTCATTTGGTTTTCCTTTTCTTTCTTTCTTTTTTTTTTTTTAAAGATTTTATTTATTTATTTGACAGAGAGAGCTCACACGTAGGCGGAGAGGCAGGCAGAGAGAGAGGAGGAAGCAGGCTTCCCGATGAGCAGAGAGCCGGAAGCGGGGCTAGATCCCAGGACTCTGGGATCATGACCTGAGCCGAAGGCAGAGGCTTTAACCCACTGAGCCACCCAGGCACCCCTTGGTTTTTCTTTTTAAAACACATAATTTGCCTTTTCTCGTGGTGATTTGATTAGTAAATCTCAATTCATCAGATCATTTTGGCTTCTTGCCATTGCACAAAAGAAATGGGAAAATCGTAGATGGTGCTTAACTGTGCCATCTTACCTTAGAATCATACTTTTATTAGTTTGCTCGGGCTGCTCTAGCAAAGTATCACAAATTAAGGGACCTAAACAACAGAAATTATCATCTGTCAGTCAGCGTCAGATCAAGACGTTGGTAAGTTTGGTTCCTTCTGAGGGCTGAGAGAGTGAGTCTGTCCTATGCCTCTCTCTTCTGCTGGTGGTTTGTCCGCCATCTTTGGCACTCCGAGTAAGGTGACATTCCAAGGACTAGGGGTTACGACATCAGCGTATGAATTTGGAGGACACAAACCCCTAACAATATTGAACACCCAGGATGGGAGAATATGTTATTAGATAGAGCCACAAAATGGTTAAATTTGTTTTTTCCCCATCAGGATAGGTAAACCTCAGTCCAGGGAAACTTGGACTTAGAAAAACAGCAGTGCTTAACTGAACAGACCCATGGCGGACCATGCTTGACTCTAAGTCCCCAATCGATAAATATTTGGCGAACGAATGAATGTGGAGTACTTCTAAATAACTTAGTCCTTCAGATCTTCCGAGTCTTTGTTCCAAAGGTCGGGTGACAACTAGCCTGACCACTGCCTTTAAAATCACGCCCACCCCAGCCCTGATCTCCCTTTCCGCACTTCACTTCTCTCTGTCATACACCTTCTATTCGACTGTATTTTACTTATCACATTATTGCCTGTTTTCCTTCACTAGACCGTCAGCTCCATAGGAGGAGTTTTTCTAGGGTTTGTTGTTGTTGTTGTTACTTTTGTAGATATCAGCACCTGTTTACAGTGCTCGACCCAGAGTAGGCTCTATTTCCTGGAGTGAATGAATGAATGGTCTCTGGAGAGAGGTCTGGCTTCTCCTGGCATGTTCTCCTTGCATCTGTTCTCATTCTCCCTAGAGTCTCAGCCCAAAGAGACATCTCAAAGGTCAAGACCCTGTCTCTGATGCTTGAATTCCCTCCAAGACTGGGGACTACTTGGTAACAGGACTGTCTTTGGCTCGGAGCCCCAATTTTGATGATAAAAGAGTCAAGAATTCAAAGTGTAAAGTGATACACAAAATAATACGGTGTGGGGTATGTGTGTGCATAGAACAAAGGTGTCGAGAAGAGAGACAGGAAGGCTTCCATATGTTAGCTCAAGCAATAGGCTCAGGAAAGGGCAACTAGACTCTGGAGCGCAGCGGGGGCAGGATGACGCATTATTTTATATCAATGCAGAGTTAAAAAATCAGAAAATTGTAAGGCAAACCATGAACAGGGAACAGCGTAGTGGTATAGAGCAATGCTTCTCAAACTTTATGCGTATACTAACCACCAGGGGATCTTGTTAAAATGAAGTGTCTGATTCCAGGGTGGGATCTCAAAGTCTGCATTTCTAACAAAGTCTCCGGCGGTGCCCCGTGTAGATCACACTGAATATTAAAGAAAGTGGATTCTGCAACCGGCCTTGCTGGGTTCAAATTACACACAGTTACCCCGGCTTACTGATTAGTAAATTAGTCTCTTTGTGCCTCAGTTTTCTTATCTATAAAATGGAGATCAAACGAGGTATTCTCTGTAAATAAATACTATTTAAATGTCACGAATTACTTCACTTGGAGAAGGGACACGGGAAGAGGGCTTAGCACGGAGTGCGAGTCAAAGAAGTCGTAGCTGTACTCTCATAATTTTTAAAATGAGAAAGCATTTCAGCATTGACCTGTGTGCGGATTTCCCTCCTCTCCCATGCAAGCAAGTTATATAAGAAGCCGGATTAGTTATGCCTGTTGTTACGCTCAGGGCGGCCAACGAAGCCTGTCTGCAAACTCTTTGGGGTCTTCGGATGGAGATACCCGGTATGGGGATCGTTTTTCATCTGGAGCCGAACCCTAAATTCCACTCCCTTATGCAAGGCTCCTGCGGCTCTCAGGTATTCGGAGAGAATACCTTTCCCCGGCACCTGCCGGCGGAGTGCTGGCCACAGTGAGGCGCTCGGGAGAGGCGCTGGGAGCCGAGCGGGGGCGAGGGATGGGGGAGGGCGACCGAGCCCTAGGTGCAGGGAGGGAAGAGGGCCGGCCCACGTGGACCACCCGGCCGGGCGGGGGCAGGGGCCGGGCGGCCCGGCCAATCAGCGCGGCCCGCGGTGGGCCCGGCCCCTCCCGGCCCGCTCGCCCGCCGGCTCGGCCCCGCACTGCTCGCTGCGCGCGGCCCGGACGGGGCGCACCGACCCCACGTGCGGCTGCAGCCAGACTCCGGGAGTGGAGTGGCACCTGCGCTTCTGCAGCCGCTGCTTTTCTGCGGCAGTTTCCGACGTGTCTTCGGAGAGACCTGAGAACTTTCACAGTGAGCCTGCGGGGGTGATGGGCCACTCCCGGGGCGCCCGCGGGGAGGTGGCCCGGTGAGCCTCCGGCTCCTGTGCAGAGATCCGAGCCTCGTCCTGGACGCGCCAGCCCGACTTGGCCGCGGCTCTAGTCAGGTAAGAAGGGTTGGGAGGGCGGAAGACGGGTTGGGAAGACGGGGTTGGGGTGGCGCTGGACCCAGTACTCAGTACTCAGTCTGTCTCGTGGCAGGTGGCTGCCTCTCGGGCTGATACCGACTTGGCTCCGGGCAGCCCCCCTCATCCCGACACTCTCGAACGGGGGTGACTTCCCGTGCGGTAGTTGGCTTGCACCCCGAAGTTGGAAGCGGCGTTCCTAAGTGGGGATGCGTGGCTGACGCCGGGCAGCGGGCGCTGCCAACTTCGGGGTTCGTATGTGCCTCTCACGGATCCCCCGGGGTGCTCCTTGGCGGCCAGCGGGGCCTCTCAATGGATCGTTATCAGTGTGGGGGCGGGGAGCGTGAACTCGGGGTGAGCGGTTGTTTTGGAGAAGCCGGCTTTGGGGCTTCATCCCTTGGGTCTGACCCTGGCCCTTATAGGAGCCACTTTAGCCTACACCCGAAGCCCTGGCTGCGGGGCTCTTGCTGGAAGGACGCTGCGTGCACCCGGGGCGCATCTTTCAGTTGAAGCGCTAAGCTTCCCGCCCACGTAGAAAACTAGAGCGAGTCTGGAAGTTCCGTCTCTTCCCCCTTGAGGCACCTCGGATTTGTCCACCAGGCGGGAGGGTCTATGTTGCTTCCCTTCTTCTTCAGACCCTCTCTTGCCTCGTTTGCCTGGACAATCCGCTCCTGGAAAGGAGAGCGTCTTTAATCCTAAACTCATGGCTTGGGAAAGATGGGAGGTGGAAAGTCTGGGGTCCTGCACTTGGGGGGGGCAGCTAAAGCCAGAAGGGTGCCACTGGTGCGTTTTTCTCCGGAATCAGTATCATTTAACGTCTGGGATTCCACGGACGCCACTGAGAGCCTTAGCCAAGCTATAATTCAGCCCCCGGGAAGATGTACATTAACAGGTTCATGGACTCACTGAGAGCTACCCATGGGCTCACATCCCTCCAAATCCCTAGCCGGGATTTAAGGACCCCCTTTGGTGAAGCATCTGCATTCCTGTACTCTTTTCCCCTTCAACTTTTCTATGGCCGTCCCTCCAAGGCCAGCAAGGTTGATGTGATGTGACAGGGGATCCCGGTGTGGGGGGATGGGCGTGTTCAAAGCCTTGGTGGGCTTCTTTCTCTAATATCCTTGCTAGAAGGATTATGGGCACCAACCTGAAAATCCCACCTGCACACCCAGACAGCCACACCTGCCCAATCACAATATAATCGGTGTTTTTCCACTTGGTCATTCTTGAGCAGATGTAGGACTTAAAAAATTCTTCAACACTTCGCTGCCGGTTTACAGTAACAAGCGTTCCGGCTAAGTTTGTAGTTATAAATCAGTGCACAAGCCTAACACTTCCTTTGAATTGGAAATACAGATCTTAATAAGGCAGCAGGAGAACAGTTTTCAGAATCATCGTGACTAATGAATGATGACTTAGGTCCTCCCAAACTGACCGCGTGAGCTGGCATTGCTCATTTGTGCAAGCAGCTCTCTTCATATGTGTGGACATTTCTCGATCAATAATCTCAGAAAGCTGTGTTTCAAGGCTTCCTCCCTCAGTTCTGCTCATTGTTCTGCTTTGCCTGACTTTTCTGTCTTCCCTCTGTGCCATTTTAACTACCCTTTAACACTTTAAAATTTATTACAGGGTTTTAAGTCACGATCTGACTTGGCCAATTTTCCCTCTTAAAGATAAGAAAGTTGTTATTCCCAGAAAAGCAATAGCTGCTAGTTTGCTTTTTTTTCAACGTCTTTATTTTTTTTTTAACTTGTCTCCCAAACACACATACAAACCCTACAAATATCTCTACTTAATTACTTCATTGGAGGCAACATTTCCATATCTCTAGTACTAGAATGTTCTAGGTCACTTGAATTTCAATATTCATTTTTTGCTTTTTTTAGAGAGGTGTATTGTTTGATGACCTAGTTCCATTTAGTCTAAAAAAAAAGTCTTTGTCCCCCTGACTCCTTTTCAGTGGCACATAGCCTTTCTCTAATAGCTGCTTTTATCTGCACAGCTCATTTATTGTTACACTTAATATAATACTTTGTTATGTAAATGACGTGTTGATGCATATGATATTAAAACTGCATTCACTGGGGATTAACCCACGGGGATGACATCATCACGAGCCAATCCTCTATCTGATTTGAACATGCATTGACAAGAGTCACATTGTCATGTTGAGCAAGGGTTCTATATTGCTTGTGATGAATAAGAGAAAGAGGGAAGTCAATTTTGGCTCTTTCTCTCAATTAGCTGCCCAGTTGGAGAGTGTTGGGGATTTCTATACTAAGAAGCTTAGCTTAATAAAATTCTCAGATTGCAGTTTATAGATCTCCTTAGAATTTGCAGAAGTATGTTTCCCCCTTATGCCTCCTTCTTCTTTGGGAGTTTTTTACGCTACATTTTGGCGCTATTTCTTTACAAATATGGAAAGATGTCATAGTAAATGGACTAGTCTTTTGAGGTTTTGTTTTTGGTCTCAAGATAGATGGAACATCTAGTTGATGGATTCATTTATATACATGTGTGCATTTCATCAGGTGCAGGATAAATAAATCTGCTAAGATTAGCAAAATGACTTCCAAGTCCCAGAGCCAGTCGTAGATGACTGGGAGATCATACAGTGGACTTTCTCCTAATTCGTTAGGAGAGATCCAGGATTGAGGGTGAGGGACAGGCGAGAGGAAAAAGACGTCCACAAAGGGATTGGCGGAGGGATCTTGGCCACATTAATCACTTCATAGCTATTTGTTTTGAAAACATTATTAGAAAAAGCTCCCATCCTTCCTAACAGTCCTTACTTACAGACATAAGCTTGAGTTACACTTCGTAATAATAGCCCACACAGTTTGTGATCTCTGGCAACTCCCCCACAAGAAAAGAATTAACTTTGGCTCCCCATCACAAAGTTAACTCTTTGTGTTTTACAGTTGTTAGTCAAGCTAAATCATTTTCTTCCATAAAGTCAGTGAAAAGGATTCTTGTGTGTGTGTGTGTGTGTGTGTGTATGTATGTGTTTAAACATAAGTTTAATTGCATAATCAGGTTTAAAGACTCAAAGACTCACAGAATTTTAAATCTAGAGAGCACCTCAGGAGTTCAGTATTCTAAAAGATCTAGGGTAAAAGGTGTTATGACTTTAGCCCATTACCTTGTAAAAAGAACTGGGATCCTAACTTCTAGCCCAGTACCCTTTCCTGACTTTTCTGATAAGGGCCTGCAGAGTGGTGTTGGGATGCTGAAGGACCCCTCATTTCAGCTGTGTCTGCAGAGCAGGACCGTGTCCCCCTCTCTTCGTATCAGGGATCAGTTAGAATATTAGGCGGTTGAACCCAGCTCAGGGATTTGACAACTGTATGCATCAGCTAGCCTTGGGCTGCTTCCTAGTAGCTGTCCTAGTATTTGCAATTAGAAAAGACACACTTCTAGGGGCGGTGGCAGTGGAAGAGGGTGGGATTGGGTGACTCGGTTTGGCTCTATTTGAGCATGTGGAAAGACACAAACGTTAAAATGAAGATGAGGCATGATGGAAGGTTTGAGAGCTCAGAATATTAATTTATTGTGTGATCTGTCTCCTCTGTCGTACCTTGTAATTTTCAGTTGCTGTAAAACCAAACTGGTAATTTGGAATAAAACTGTTTTCTGGCTTGGTTGTGAGTCCTGCTAATGGTGCCCTGCCTTTGTTGAGGACTTAGTGTGTGTCAGGTATAGAATGTTGACGTTGATGAAACATCCTGGTTAATAAATGGCTTTCTCTCTGTGAATGAACTATGGATGTCCAAAGAGTCATGAATCAAAAACCGTGTTGAATCTTTCTTTGTCACTCTTTTTAATTCAAAAAATGTTAGGATCTTACAGTAGCAAGTCATTAGCGTGGGCATAGATGATTTTAATTCAAAAGTCTGGGAGTGTCAGATATTAGGGAGTTCTTATTAATGAAATGTTAATGAAATGACAAATAAAAACAAGATGCTATATTTAGAAAGATAGACAGGTAGTAAAGATGTTGCTAATTTGTCTCCTTTCCTAAGACTGTTTATAGTATTGTTAGTGGAGAAGAATAGAGTGTCTCTTTTAGAAAAATGCCCTTGCATTTCTTATAAAGAGAAAACACTAGGCTTCTTTTTTTAAATAAAAATACGGCATTACAGAAAAATAACCTATGTGGGTTTTTTTTTGATTTGTTGTATTTTTTCTGCTCTGAGTTTATTTCAAACTAGAAAGGCCATTGAACATTTCTGCAGCATTTCACTTGTCTTAACTAAAGGTGGAACTGTCCAAAACCCGAGTTATTATTAGTTTTTAAATGACTATTGCATCTGCTTAAACTCTCTGTTTCATATCTATGCCACATGTCCCAAAGACTTCTCTGAAAATTCACAGTTTCATTTCTTTATTTTATTCAATTTTATTTCATCTTTTGCCTCGTGAATCCTGAAAATACTGATGAGATTTTGGTCTTCCAGAGTGCAATACTGGGCCTCCAACTTGGACTTTAGGCACAGTGTTTAAAATAAATCATAGAAGGTTTCCAACAAGGAAGAAACTTACAGACCATCCAGGGCAATGGTTTTCAACTGGGGGCAGTTTGGCTCTGTAGGGGACCTTTGCCAACATCTGGAGACATTTTTGGTTGTCTCAGCCTGGGGTGGAATTAGGTTACCGGGTGTAGAGAACAGGGGTGCTGCTAGACTTACACTAAGGCATAAGGCAACTCCCACAGCAAAGAATTCTGGGGCACAAAATGTCATTGGTGCTGAGGTGGAGAAACTTGGATCCAGGGTGACTTTTTGGGCCCAGACCAGTGAAATGGCTTACCCAACGTCCCCAGCTCCTTGTTTCTGGCAGGAACTGAGGTCCCTAAAGCGTACGCTAGGATTCTTTGCATCACACTAGGCTTGTCTTGAAGATGTCTTTTCTATTTGATTTCTTTAATTTATAAAGAAAATGTGTATGTGGGGTAGAAAAGTCAAACACTGTAAAAGAGTATA